GAACTATAGCCTCAGACTTGGAGGTGCTGACTCTCCCTCGTCATAATCTCATCAGTGTGTGCTGAAGGTCACGGCCTCAAGAAGCCAAAAGAACCACATCTGCAAAAAAAACAAAAAAACCTTATGAATCGACAAAGACGCCCTTTATGAAGCACTTCTCCTAAACCTAACCAAGCCATTTTTTAACCTAACCGAGCCCTAACCATGGAGCTCTCATTAAATTGAACAGTGAAGTTCAACAGTTTTGGGCTACGGCCAAATTCTTCTGATTATTACCAAAGTATTTGTAAATTCGGCTGGAGCACTTTGTGTGCTGAAAGCGTATCCCGACACACATCGGCCAAGAGGTTGGGTCAACCCTGAAGAGGTCACCAGCCCTCACACAGAACGCAGCACCGTATAAATAAAAAGTATGACCTAATGCTTATGGTAAAAGAGAAATGAACCACATATAGTGTAGGAAGTCTCCCTGAAGCAAATGAGACCTTTGGCAATTAGACCTCATCTCCTCATCATTGTGATTTGTGCAGTTCAAAGTTTTGTGGTGTCTGGCCAGAACCGAGACGCCCTCAAGTCCTCGAGAGCTTTCATGCAAAGCTACACAGAGTGGAACGTAACGCACGAAACTCGCAGGCATGTGTTTGCTCTTAGACGGACCAAAAAAAAAAAAAAAAACCTTCTCGACAACATATGGAAGCCATAGCGGTTTCCGTACTGGTGTCAGCAAGGATATGGTTTTACCCAGAATGACTTGGACACCTACAAAGTGAGACATTCTTTATGTGTTGACTTTATGATTTATACATGCCTCTGTGATGTTTCCTCAAATCATAGTTACGGGATTCACCTACATGTTCGGGTTTTTCGACCTTCCGAACGTGCACAAACAGGTATTCATGCGCACATAAATGAGTCCCTTACATGCCATACGAGCACCCAGACAGAATCCCCTCTCTCCAACCCCCTCGGCCTGATCTTCTGATCCTCCGTCTTGATGTTATGCGCTGCGTGAGCATGCTGAATCCTGCCCCATTTTTATCTGCATTAGCACAACCTCCAGGGTATAAGTTCAGGCCTCAGCAGCAACACCCTACACCTTATTGTACTTATGAATTTTGTATGGTAGCACTTGTTCCCTGCTTTGAAGTCATAAAAGAAACAGGCAAGCTTAAGTTGAGCTTAGGGGTCATGCACTGGCCCAACCAAGGCTTCTCTGTCTGAATTTGTGTATTTTAAAGTGGTCTGGCTGTATATCTAAGCAGCGCCAGGTGTGTGGGTTTTAATTTACAGACTTCAGTTTTCGTGCCCGGGCGGCCTCCTGCCTCTCTCTGTGTGTTCATGTGCACCTCGCAAACTATTAAGCCGCGGTCCATCCCGGCTTTGACTGGAGTTAAAGTTTGCACCTGGTCCAGTCATAAAACAGTAGTTAGCGTAATGGCTTTTAAATGAGGCTCCAAACGACCGAGGCTGTAACATTAAACAATGATAAATCTCTACAGCGACTCTGCGGCTGTTTTCAAAGCGATCTGTTTGTCTGCCAGCTTATCCGTCTTACTGTCCCCTTCGCCGCGGTGTCACAAAATCTGTCTGGAATCAAATCTCAGCTCAGTGACAAAAGGCGGGAAAAAAAAAAGAAAAAAGGCAGGAATTTTTCTCAGCACGTGCCCCGTACGTCTTTGGTCAGGGCAAACAAAGCTGCTCATTCCTCCCTTCCGCATCCTGATGCTCCACTTCTCTCTTATCTAAACTCTCAAGAACGAGTGATAAACATGGTTTACTCCGAGACATGAAAGAGAATAATCTCCGCTATCATCATTGTGAGGCAGTTTCCAGCCTAACAAAACAAGAACCTCTCATTTTCAGAAACAAGATGCGATCCTCAGACTACATCAGATCAGACTATTTTGAAAAACAGCACAGCGGGGATGATTTTTTATTTTTTTTCTTCTGATACGCTCTCAAGCTCTTTTTAGTCTTCAACCAAAAATATTTTTTGGGTCATAAGTTAGTTTCTGCCAACAGTGGCTGCTGCATGCGTCAACGTAACATCGCTTTTGACTCATTCATCTCACATTCTCAGACACTCTTCCTGTGGTTTGTGGTGTTTGTTTCACCTTGCCTCCTTCCTTTAAGTGTGCCTGCCGTATGGTGTCTTTGGGTGAAGCACCAGTGGATGTTAACCTTCTTCTGAAATAGCAGGGTGAGTCACTTGGGTGGTCAGGAAAGGCGGGCTCACATGGCGAGGTGATTTTCCAAGAGTCATTCCAGATTGCTGACTAGTAAAAATTAGTAAGTGATATGTAAGCTCGGGGTCTTGCAAAATGTAGGGGAGTGTGCATGTTTCATGTTTGCTCTGCCCTCTCACCTAGGCGCCGCTTGCTTGGCAGGCGATTCCTGCGTTTTGCATGCTGCGCGCGTTGGTTTTTCTGAACGCGGTGCGATTTTTGAGGGCTGGGTTACGAGCAGCAAACGGCATTTCCAATCGCGTAAGTGTTCCTCGAACCTGGCATTTTCACCTGATAGCAACTGTCGCCATGGCACCGCCGGTATCACTAACTGTTATCATAATCATGGTGACGGGCAGCAGCCGAGTCCCGAATGTCTTGGCAGAGACTCGCATCCACCTGACGTCCTCTCTCCCCTCGCTCAGCTGTGTGTCCTGCTTCCCCTCTCCATCTGGTTAGACTCTTATCTCACTCGGAGTGTGACGGCGGGGGGGGAAGGCGAGCGGGGGTGATTATACACACTGCTGCTCCTGTGTCAGGTGTCTGTTTGTGTGTATTAGTGTTTGCCAAATGCTTGTTTCCTGTATACACCTCCTCAGCCTGCCGTGTTTCGCTTGCAACATCTCCGCAATGTTAAAAAGAAGCCCACAGGAATCAGGAACACGGCCTCAGACACGAGTTGTGTTTGTGTATCTGTGTCGGTGCGTTGCATGTGAGGTAAAGGTTCTTATCCTCAGTTACTGGCTGTCACTATCTTTGTCGTCGTCTATTAATAACTTCACCTCCGGGGTCAAGATCGTTTACAGCGAGCTTTAACACACTGACACTGAATCACACGTTTGTCCTAGATGTTTCCCAATAATCCAATTTTCGTTTAAAGTAGTTAAAGAATCAGGCGTCTGCTGTCTGTTTACTGTGACTGCATCTGCCAACAGCCATAAATGTGCAGCGTAGGCAGCGAGGAGTCGTGATTTATGATATACTTTGTGATTGGACCACATATTTCACATAGATCCTTTTGTCTACGTGTGCCAACTCCTGTTGCTGTCTCAGTTACCTTGCAGCCTCCTCTGGCTCCTATTTATAACCCTGAGTAAACAAAATGGATACACAGGAGGAACACTTGGGACAGGTCCTTCTTTTTTTTTGTTCAAAGATCACGCTCGTGTGCCGTCTGGTCGTCGGGTACAGCCTGTGCACAGACTCAGCGTGATGTGGCGGTTTGTGAGCTTTGACTGTGGGTTGCTCAGCAGAGATGATTTCATTCAGAGAAGGAAACTGTCACTGCGGATGGATAAATATATCCTTTCTGTCTGTCTGTAGCCTGGTTTCCACTGCCCAGTGTAACATTCCCAACCAGAGCTTAAGGTAGTCATTATTCGCTGCGTATCAGTCAGTCGGTTTTCCAGCATCTGTGGTCTGTTGGCTCACATTCGCCATTAGGAATGATTTGTCAGCTGGGCTGCGCTTTCAGTCCAACAAACGCGCGTTTGATCTGGATTATTAGCATTTTCAGTTGTTTGGCGTAAACGTCACTTCTCCCTGCGGCCGTGAGGGAGTAATTGTTTTTGTGTGGGAGCCCTGCCATGCAGCATCGAGTTCGAGTGGGCTGCGTTTAAAAGACCTGCGGTTTAGCTGTAATTATTTTCCTACTGTCCACTCATAAAACACATGATCACGAGAAGCCCGTAAAGCTGAGCAGAGCGGTTGTAACTGAAGCAACACTTGAACTTGCGATTTTCTTTTAGAGCTCCGCTGTCGAGAAAAGTTGAAAAAAATACAGTCTCTTTATAACAGTATAGCTTTTTTTTTATAGTCAGTCACCAAATTACACATTAATACTATATGAATGTTAAATAAAACTAATGAACTGTGTCACGAAACATATATAGCCAAATGTGGTCACTTATTTCCACATCTGTGTCCCGTTTTATTCAAACCACATTGCACTAGTAGACGGAATATGATTTAATTTCGAAATGCTTGTTTTGAATTGACATATAATACTCACAGTAGTTTTAGTGCAACACTTTGACATGTCCTTGTTATTCTACGTGCACCAGCTGCACCATTGGGAGTGTTGTGATTGTGGGGATTTCCGATAAACGCACGGCGTCATAGAAGCTATTCTGAAAGCCTTTGAGACCAGCCTTACATGTGCCAATGTTCCTCAAGACTTAATCACATTTACCTTGCCATACCATAATAACACCCTCTCGCCTAATGACACATTCCTTGGAATATTGGGATGTAATAAAACTCCATTCAGACGTCAAACATTCAATTGTCCTCGATTCACTTTCTCTTAGGTGGAGTAATTATTGGTTGTTCTGCCTTTTGCAGGTTTCTTCTGCGAAACATGTCAAATTATAAAAATAGCTGGAAAAAATATATTTTAGGAAACGTAAATGAGACTAAGAGCCTACAGCCAAACTACCAGCTTGAATTAAATTGAATGTGAAAGCTGCTGACGTTTAACAGCTTTACCGCATTTACCGTTTTAATTTACCATGTTAGCGTTGGGGAAACACAAAGTGATGGCAATGTCATTAGTTTTGCAGCATATTTGGTCATAAACTAAAAGAAAGAAAAGCGAGGGGATCACCCAGAGGAGTACGATGGTGTCCTGAATGTGTGTTCCAGTGTTCTAACCATGGTGGACCAACCACGATTGGCATCCTTAAAGCCGCACTTCTTGCAAAAATAAACAACATTCTTTTTATGTAAGATCTTCGTAGCTTGAACACGTCGTCCTTCTGTGTGTCCCATTCGCAGACCAAGCTGCCGGTCCTGTTGCTGGGCCGATCGTCAGACCTGAGACCAGGGGAGTTTGTCGTGGCTATCGGCAGCCCGTTTTCCCTCCAGAACACGGTCACTACAGGGATCGTCAGCACCACCCAGCGAGGGGGCAGAGAGCTCGGCCTCCGCAACTCCGACATGGACTACATCCAGACTGACGCCATCATCAATGTAAATGGATGAAGATTCACTACCATTATGCAGAAACTTTCTAAAACACACAAGTAATAAGTGATCTATCTTTCTGGTTTACAGTATGGCAACTCCGGAGGACCTCTGGTAAATCTGGTGAGCCCCTTTTTTTTAATCCTGATGGCAGACAAACCCGTTTTTATGTTCTCATGACATCTTAACATGCAGATGATGATTCACAGGTTGTTACCAGCCACTAAGCTGAGGTGTGTTGTTTCAGGACGGAGAAGTGATCGGGATCAACACCCTGAAAGTGACGGCCGGCATCTCCTTCGCAATCCCCTCAGACAAGATTCGACAGTTCCTGGCCGAGTCATACGACAGGCAGTCCAGAGGTATGAGCTCTCGCCGAAACGGCTTCTAATGTTTTCATTTTATTGCCTCCAATCAATCACCGAGACAAAAGCGTAAGAAGCAAAAGACTTGGACCGAGTTCCCATTTGGACGTGCAGCAAAGAAGCTATAATTCAGCACAGGGCTTGTTTTTTTTTTTTCATCTTCATGCGCTGTCTTGACATATATTCTGCACATTTACAGCTTTATGAATCTGCGCCCAGCATTGCCTAATAGAACTTTGACACTGCAAATAAACTGCCAGCACACATCAGGTTGTTCTTTCTATTTTACAGCTTTCCAACCCTTTACCTCGCATTCTGTTTTAGAGCGTGGGTTTAACTGATACATCTTGTGATTAGTAGACTGAAAAACAAGACGGAGCATGTAGATGTGCACACTATCCTCCAAGAAGTGCGAGATTAATGAGATAATCTGATCTAAACTCATATTTCTATCGCACATGCTGTAAAAAACAGACAAGAGTTGAGAGGATGAATGACTGTACTGTGTTTATGGTGCGTCTCCAGGGAGAACAGACACTAAGAAGAAGTATATCGGTGTGAGGATGATGACTCTCACTCCAGCGTAAGTTGCATCTGCAGAATTGAACCTCTGTATTGGACAAGTGGAACTCTGCAGAACTCGCTCTCCTTTCTTTCACCTTTCAGCTTGGCCAAAGAGCTGAAGACTCGCCACCGTGACTTCCCTGACATCACCTCTGGAGCTTATGTTATGGAGGTCATCGCGAAGACACCAGCTGCAACGTAAGGAACACATTAGGCCCACATGGCTTTAAATGCCTTGGCTCAGTGCACGCTAACTTGATTGTAACTTTATGGCTCATAGTAAAGTGCAAATGGAAGTTGCCTCCTTCAGCGCTGTGGGATATTGTGTTTGGCGCTTAACGCTATACATGTGCACTCGATTCACACAAGGCTCTCTGCGTGCAGCCGCCGCTGCACTCTCTCGATGCAAATGGACAATATATTTCATTTCCTTTCCTAATTTAATCTCTTGTCTAACTGTCGCACACACACACACAGCCTCCTACACGACTGGCCTGCGAGGATGTAAATTCACAGCTCGCTCCGGCGTGCCTGGAGTTCCTGGCTTTCGAAAATATCCCCCTTCTCCCCTCCTCCCACAATCGTAGCCCACTCCAATCAGCCGCCACCACAACTCCAGCAGAGTTGGGGTGGGGGAGACGCTGAGGTCAGCTATTTCCTTCAAACCTCATGCGGGGAGGTTACTAGCTGCGCTGTGGTTTTCCTGCGCCTGCTCACCCAGCCCACGTCGGATCGGCCTCTCTCCTGCGAGGGCCTCGTCAGAGTTTTACTCACTGCTCAAATCATCCTTTTTTCTTGCATAATAACAATTCTGCGGTTCCTTTTATATTCGGTGTTATTTTCTAGGCTGCACTTTCGCGCTTTTGATCTGCTGTTTGTTTATGGCCTTTGGGAAACCTTGACCCTGCTGTAGAGAAACCTGGAGGTGTCAGAGCGGCTGAGTGTAATGAGGGGAACACTGAAGGTGAAGTGAAGGTGTGGTGGTCTGTGTTTACATGTGGCTGTGATTAAGACCCGGCTCTCGATATCGCTGCCAGTTAGCGCTTCGGTCTGTGCGTGATTTCGGCTTTACTGGTTTGTTTCTTATTCATTATGGGTGTGCAATGGGCCAGCGTGTTTTTATTTGCGTAGCGCTCAAACCTTTGCGGTGCCATCACTTGGATCGTTATCGCTCGGTCATTAAAATTCTTACTGCAGATGTTACATTGATTCACTATGTGCTCGCGGAGCTGTAAACAAACCTGACCAAAGTGCGATTTAAAACATGTTGTGGATATTACATCTGTAGGTCATTAAATAAACCTGCTGCTTTTATTCTAAAGCCTGAAGAGGAAATTATAGCAATGCTTCATGTTGGGAGTGGAGGAAATTGTCATAAAAGCAAGACATCTGATCAAAAGAAGAAAACCAACAATGTGCTGGACTGCCTCTAACCCTGTCTGAGGCTCATGTAAATGTTGAGATGCCTCCACCTATTCACAAAGTCTAATCATTTCCAAAAACATTACTCAAACAGGAGTAATGTGACGAAGTGAATTTGCTGTTGACTGAAAATAAACTCCAGTGTCTGTGTAATGGTTTGGATCACTGCTGTGTTTTTAATTGTTTTTCTGACCACAATGGAAGAATAAGATGCTTGAGGTTTCAAATACAGAAATAATACTGGACATAGGATGAGTTCATTGGTGGTTTCTATCTTAACCATTGGATTTGTTGACAATAAGATAAAGGTAGCACATCTTCTTCTTCTTTTCTTTGAAGATGATGGCTTCATAAATCGTGAAGTGAAACTGATCAGCCCAAGATTCCCTTTTCTTCTGAAGTTGAGCTTGAAGGCGATTTCTTGTTTGATTTCTTTGTGAAGTTGGGTTGGATTTTTGATGGTAGTGTCTTCTCTTCTTGTGCAGTATATTTAATAGTCTGGATAAAGGATGGAGCTCGCTACCCTGTGCAGAAACAACACATCAAAACTCTCAGCTAGATCTTCGAAATACTAACGATGAACTGAAAAAAGACATTTCAGAGACTCTTTTTTTGGTAAAAGCGCCGTGTTTAGGAGGGGAATGGGCAACGAACTTCATCAGAAATCCATGTTTTAAGACATGACTTAAACTTTACATACTTAAATACTCCATACAGAACAGCATGAGCCTTTTGTTGTCGTTGTTTTTGCAGCATTTTTGTATTTAGGAGTTAGTATAAAGGACCTGAGGGTAGAGCGTGATGGGAGGTGAAATGCAACAGCTGGACTTCTTAAACCTCCAGGTCAAAATACTGTTCTGCTCCATACACCTCCTTAGAGACTAAAACTGAAGCAGAATATCGTATCACTAAGATACAAAACAAACAAAACGTTATCCACCAGCGTGTACTTGCCTCCGTCACTCACCTCCTCTTCTTCTGTCCTCCAGCGGTGGACTCAAAGAGCACGACGTCATCATCTCAATCAACGGCCAGAGGATTTCAACAGCAACCGACGTCAGCGCCGCCATCAAGAAAGACAGCACCTTGCGAGTCGTCGTCCGCCGTGGCAACGAGGACGCCATCCTCACCGTTGTTCCCATGGAGATTGACCCTTGACCCTCCATAAATCACCCCACAGGAGCTGGAGCTAGGTTTTTACTTATCACCAGTGGACCTTATATCAGAGGGGAGGGGGGTTCCTACTGACACACCCTCTTCCCTGTGGCCCAAAAGGCCAGTGGCACCACACATCCAGGAAAATTCTGGCTTTGCCTTGAAAGGAACGACTGTACAGATGCTCCAAAAGCGGCGCTGTACTTTGTTTTCCGTGTGTGTCTTCACTTTTAGTCTGTAATGCTTTGATCAATGCTACTACTGTTCGGTCACAAACGTAAAAAAGTTGGCGTAGTGTTTTCATCCGCTTTCTCGTCTTATGTCTATTTTTTTTTTAACATGGACTTTTGCTCAGTCAGGCCCTTCCACTGCAATTTTATGCAATTTAGAGACTCACTGAGCAAATCTGATTTGTATAATTGTTGTTCCTAAACTCCTTTTAAAAGTACTGTAGATTGTTTTTGTTGATTATGTGATGTAAACTGAAAAGAAAATAAAGGGTTTACCTTCATTTGTCACTCAGCATGCTGGCGTTCTCATTTTCTTTCCATCTCTTTGCACTCAATTTTACACGCATATAAACAAACACACATATTTTGGAAAGAAGTGCACTCAGGCTGATGCTTCAGTGTTTTCTTTGTGTGTGTGCAGAGTTCACGTAACCTTTGCTCGTGCACGTACGCACACAGCGAGGAGATGTAAAGTCAATCGGGATCTGGTTTAAATTTGATTTTATTGACTTCATATGGACTTGATAGTGGTCTCGTGTGATTGTTGGGCCAGGGGCTCGGCAGGCTGACCTCAGAGACAGGAGTGTGAGCCAACCAGAGATCCGACCCACCATGCAGCGGCCACAGATGTAGGGTTCGCATACACTTAATGTTTTGGTAGAGATTTTTGTTTACCACATGAATTTTGGATGAAGATGTTGAAGTAGACCTCATGAGAACGACAGAAAACCACCACAGTTTCAAAAACAGCTTCAAGATACACAAAAAAGAGGTCTTTGACCAAGAACCTCTTTCACTACATGTGAAATTTGCAGTGATGAAACTTTGCTGAAACTTTTGTTTTTCTTTACTGTAACCCACCACAAGCCAAATGTACGGTCTGCGCTGTGTGTTGCGAAATGAAATCGAGCTTCACAAGCACATTGAAAAGACAGAGGAGCATATTTGGTCATTCGGTGGTTGGCTTCCCCATTTTTTATATTTGAATTGCAGACCATTTCTTTAATAACCACTGGATGTTTATCCGTCTCCCATTTTTCCATCCGCATTCACCACATGGAAGCTCTATTACAGAAAAGTGTTTTCCCATGATGTTAAGCACAATCCTGCGAAGATCTACTGGACATTTAATATTTTGACTTGTTTTTTGTTACATATCATCACACACAGGCCCCCAGTTGATAGATTTATGTATATATTTGCAATCAACGGCCAAATGCGAGGCCAGAAACCATCACCATTAGAGAAGCGCGGCAGTAAGTGCTGCTGCCATCTCATGGCTCGCTCTAAGTGTTGCAGTCTATCATCTTAATTTAAGCACCAAACTATGTTGCAAATATTTGGGTCCAATGTCACATTCAAATTCTATGTTTTTTATTTCACTTGGCAACACCATAGATTTCTGACTCACTTATTCCAAGCCTGCAAAACATTCGGAGATTACAGTGTACATATGGAGCATTGTTCTCAGCTGCAAAGTTTGCCTGTTGATGAAGTCATGGCTGCCAAACTGCCAAGACCTGTGCTAGGAACCATCAGTCAAACAGGGCACGGCCGTATTACCTCACCACCTCTGGGCCTTGATGTGGATTGACAGTCTCTCTCCCAACCCAAATACATACAAATGCCAGAAATCTGTATGTTTTGCACCGAGTGAACACGGTGTTATCGTTGTCCAAATGTTGTATAATGATGACAGAGTGACTGACAAAGTCCCTTCGGTAATTTGATTAATTGTGATGTACGACTCGTATGAAAAACTGACAAATGTGTTAAAAAATGTGGCCGCTTCACTGTTGATATCAGGGCAACTGTCATGTCATGATTAAATGTCCAACTCTGTAGGAGTTATTACATATTCTGTGAATGACACAGGGACAAAAAACACTAAAAAATTCTAAAAACACATTTCAAATGGCTCCCGTGGGAAATTATTATCCCTCTGCTTTTGAGCCGAGGCCAGCCACTTCCACAAAGGACTTCCATGCTTTGAAGGAGGTGTTGTCATGTCTGAATGATGGCCATTTCAGTGTTGATACAGTTGAGACCCATTTTCCCTGCAGACCCGGGCTGTTTAGAACGCACCAGTCATTCATTTGACACCATCTGCTCCCCAGACCAGTGCCAGTGCTGGTTTTTCTGCTCTCTGTTTACAGTCTGCTGGAGGTGTTTGAACATTCAGTTCAGTTAGAAAAGAAGAATCAAATTTGACTGTGCAGAATTGCATTTCTATTGCTCGCATAGGATATTGTGTTTTATTGAGATAAAGGGGCATGCTTTGTGTTGTCTTTTTGTTTTACAGTGTGCTTGACGTGGAAATTAGGACAGTAACATTGTGCAAATCATAATTTTCCCAAGGGTTTAAAGGGTTATTTCACTCAAATTTAGAGAAAAAAATAAAAACAAAGCAGATATTTGACCACTTAAGTCTAGCAGTATATATCCATGTACTGCTCTGATTTCATTTTCATTTTTTAAAAAAAATCAACAACAAAAAAAAAAAAAGCTGAACTACTAACATATGAACTATCTTCTGCTAAACAAATATTTGCATTATAAACTGTTGGCAGCATGATTTGTAATGAGAGAACTGGCCTCTTGAACACTGATGTAAATATTCACGAGCAATCCATTTATTCTAGGACGCATTCAGGATATTTGTTTTACCACATGAGCTGCAAAATAAAGGCGATATATCGTATATTGATTTAGAAATAATTAGTTATACAATTTCTAGTGCATGCATCGTTAGATAAAAGTACAATACTGGATTTGGGCAGTGCTCGTTTGCTGTTAAAGTCATCTGAAAAACACACAAAAAAATGTAAGACAAACGTCGAATACAGACGACACCATCACTCTCGTCCCTCGTTGGCACGTTTTCAAGTTTAGTTTAAACCAACTAATGCGGTCCTCCAACGCCCCCTATCGTTTATTATGGTTTACGATTTGGTCCAATCAGAGCCTCGCTTGCTGACACCGTCCCAAGTCACACGGAAGCCTCCCTACTGCGGATTGGCTGATTCCGTCCCTTCAGCGCACTGCATGGGGGTCTTGCCAAGCATCGAGGAGGGAGGGGATATTTTAATGGCCGTCAGTAGCACTACAAAATGCAAAAAGTCCGGATTATCCATAATATTTAAACTGCTGTAGCTACGGTTGCATTTGGGACGCCCTTCGTTGGTAACAAGCATTGCTCTGGGGACATATTCGAGTTATATGTGTGTTTTTAGTGTTGTTTCTGCTGCGCTGAACGGACTTTACCCGCTTGATTTGTGCGCGAGTGGGAGCTCAGGCCTAGCCGGCTGGCTAAAAAACAAGCGGACGGTTAGCTAGTCGCTGGAGTTGAAAGGTAAGAGTGTGTGCCGTTATTCATTCGTACTTACGACGATTTTAAACAATATCTATAGTCAAATTTAAAAGCTGAAATACTTAAGCACATTTTAAAACATGGTGGCCAACATTTGATGCAGCCGGGTGAGAAATGTAAACAGCCGACATACGTTAGCCTAGTTAGCGGTGTTAAAGCTAGCGGCTAACGGCTAACTTTATAGTAGTTAACTTTACAAGCAGGGGCAGACCAAGCTAGAGTTAACAGATGGTGCTAGGTTGCCTGTCCCGACCGTGTGTGATGATGCAATTGACTCAAAGTTTTACTAAAGTTAATCTAAATCGATCTAGCTTTCTGTCGTGTTGCCCACACACGAGCGATAATGTTTTTGAAAGCTATGCTGCTCGAGCTAGCGAGCTAGCCAGGCTAACTTTGTGTCCTATCCACCAACAGTTGACACACAACTTGGATGGATTAGTTTACCTGATTTTACAGAAGTGATTCATGCATAATACACTCGTACTTCTTCAAAAAACACTGTTCTTTGTTTCATTCTCAGTAATATTTGCATCCTGTCTAACGTCGCTGTCAGATCGTTAAGCTGTGCGTTCCCTGACGGCTGTTCAGTTTACTTAATGCGTGAGCGGTATGTTGCATGGTGAATGGTTTCTGCTTCTGTTCACAGGGAATATGTAACATAAAACTACCGACATGACATCCAGATTTGGTAAAACGTACAACCGCAAGGGAGGGGAGGCTAATTCGAAATTTGAAGAGGTCTTCTCTAACAAAAAGCCCACTTTGACCACCAAATGGGGGGAGACCACCTACAAGGCTCAGTTGGGAGCCAAAAGGCCTCTGTTAAAACCTGATGTTTCTGAGGTCCCCAAGAGACCCAGGCTTGAGGACAGCGACAGCGAAGAAGACCCATTTGGGTTCGACAGTGATGATGAGTCCAAGACTGTAAGCCCTCAGAGTGTGTCCCAGACGAAAATCAATGAAGGGGATGTGATAAAGACAGCCGCCGTGCAAGGTGATCGGGCAGCCACTCTTGTGACTTCTGCACGGGGCTCTGCAAGTTCAACCGCCACATTCACAAGTAAGTAATCAATACATAAACCAACATGTCTGGACCCTAAATTCCTGCCCTGATTGTCTAATGTAACAACATTTACTACACGAGTCCACGTGTCAGTTCATTATTTATCTTGTGATCATTTAAAATATAGTGCCTGTTAGTTATTTAATTGCACTTTCAGTTCTTTCTTAACCAACCTGTAATTTTATTTTTTGTTCTTAGGCAAGCCAACGTCTGAAGTGAAGGCTGTTAAAAATAATGTGCCCTGGTACAAAAGTGCAACAGATAGCAACCAAAAACCTGCGTGTGTGGCCTCTTTCTCAAACACACTCCCCTCTGGTGATCAGAACTTTTCAGCATCCCAGAAGCCCGTCTCCTCCACTGCTTATATAAACACCTCCCTTAAACCGTCCACTGATGCACCGGGTGGTAGCAAAGACTTCCAAACCCTTACTACTTATGATGGACTGCAATCGGAAGAGATGAAAAATGCAGAGTTAGAGCTTCCCACAGAGCCTCCTCCAGAACCAGTGGACAACATTCCCCCTTCCCCATTTACTCTAAGGGCCTCAAACTGCAAGAAATACCAGCGGCCCAGCCGGCCCAACAAATCGTCATCTGAACCTGCCGAAAACAACAAGCCCACTGACACAGCGAGTGCCCAAGATAAACCCAACAGTGTCCTTTCTGCTAGTGCAAGTAGTACTGCTGCCAGTGCTAAAACAGCAGCCAAGCCTGTGGGCAGGGGCGGTGGGAGGGTACGGGACTACACAGTTCTGCACCCTTCCTGTCTGTCGGTGTGCAATGTCACTATCCAGGACTCGATGGAGCGCAGCATTGATGAACTGGTCACGCCAGCTGCCCCTGCTGATGTTGGAGTCGCA